GCACCAGGCCCTGTTCAAAGTGTTTTACATGTTTTAAGTAATTTAAACCTCAAAACAACCCACTGGGTGGGTATCATTATCACCATTTATCAGTAAAGAAATCAAGGCATAAGGGGGTTAGGTAACTTGCTCAATGACACACAAAAGTGAAGTCAGATTTTGAATCCAGGGAGTTTAACTTAGAAAACAAGCTCTTTAATCACCATATTGTACATCATAAAGATTCCTAACTATTCATTAACTTAATACAGAGGATTTCATGGAATCCTGGGGGTCCCCTAGACCCTCTCACAAAGTCTGCATGGTCAAAATTATTTTCATAATAATACCAGGACATCATTGGACTTTTCTACTATGTCGACAGTTGCACTAAAAGCAAGGGTGGCAAAACCGCCAGTCCCTTAACACAGATGAAGGCGATGGCAAAGAACTGCAGCAGCAGTCACACTCCTCAGTGTCAGGCACTGGGAGTGAAAAAAATGAAAAATAAATATTTAATAAGAAAAGTCTTTTTAAAAGACTGCTTCACTTAATAACTCCTTGAGGAAGCAGTGAAAAGTTATTACTTTTAATAAATCTCAGCCCTCAAGTACACATCTTTTTAACACCGTGTGTGACGAAATGGGAAGGAAGCAGGCTTGGAGCACATCCGCCGCACACTGAAGTAGGGTGGCTGTCCCTGCGGCAGTGTCTGCATGTTGCTTTGGGTTGCAAGCTGAATCTGGTACTTTTTCATGGAACACTATTTTTACTTGGATGAATAACTGACAAACTACGGTTACTCAGATTTGGTATGCGGCAGAAATTTATTTTCTCAAAAATGAAGGAAGTGAGCCTGTCACTTTAAGAGAGTAAAGGGGTCCTGAGATTAAGAAGTTTGAGAACAGTTGATTTAAAGAAATTCTGGACCACCCTTTTTGGTCCAATTTGAATTATGGTCATTAAAAGGAAATGAAATTGAAATTATTTTAAGATGTCATTTTCATTAAGTTTACCCTTACCCTCACCCTCAATCTCCAAAATGAGAGAAATACTATTACCTACCATTTTCTAAAACTCGCACATGAAAGTGTTCAATCACTTAAAAGCGTAAAATGAGGCCAGGCGCAGTGGCTCACGCCTGTAATCCTAGCACTCTGGGAGGCTGAGGCGGGAGGATCATTTAAGCTCAGGAGTTTGAGACCAGCCTGAGCAAGAGTGAGACCCCGTCTCTACTAAAAATAGAAAAATTAGCTGGACAACTAAAAATATATAGAAAAAATTAGCAGGGCACGGTGGTGCACGCCTGCAGTCCCAGCTACTCGGGAGGCTGAGGCAGGAGGATCGCTTGAGCCCAGGAGTTTGAAGTCGCTGTGAGCTAGGCTGATGCCATGGCACCCTAGCCCGGGCAACAGAGTGAGACTCTGTCTCAAAAAAAAAAAAGAAAAAGTGTAAAGTGATTCATAAGATTCTTTATAGATTCTCACTTACCTTCATCTCAATAACAGTTTGCAGAGCTTTTGTTTTGGCAGAATCAGGGGCATTCTCAAACCTCCGATGCATTTCCTATAGAAGAAAAGCAGAAAGAGAGTAAATGCCCTCCCCACTCTCATTTTTTTAAAAGGGGGGAGGGAGAGTAGCCGCATGCAAAAGTTAACTACTCCAGCTTTGTGAGATGTTCTGACCCCTTTCTGTGTGACCAACCTTTCCCCGTGGATCAGGGAATCCGCAGACTGTATTGGGGCTAATGCAACCATGTACTCGTAGGAGGGTCCCTGCCTCTGAACACCTGCTTATTTAAAATTAGTCACACGGATGCCAGCTATCACAACAGTTGAAACTACAGCACATCCCCAGGTTGGTGTGTCAAACTTTCACGTGACTCCAGGATGTAATCAGAACTCCAAATGGTCTAAAAGGGGGATGAGAAATGCTTCCTTTTTAAAAGGAGAAATAAAAGCCATCGCAATCAGGCTGCACTGCCCAAAGCTAGTGAAAGCATGTGTGCTGACAACATCCTTCCCACAGCTTTCACCCCACAGAACCACCACCTGGCTAGCTAGGGTGAAAATCTCTCTCCAGTGGAGCCACAGGTGGAAAAAGATGATTCTGTTGAACAAGTTTTCTAAGTACTTAAGGTTTAGACAATGTCAGAAAAACAGAGCTCTATTTTTTTTAACCCCAAAATCTAGTGAGTTCAGGATAGGAAAGGAAGGAGGAGATATTATCCTGAAGTTACCAGACCACCTCAAGCAATACATTTGTTTTGTTTTGTTTTCCAGGATATTACAGGGTGCACCCGTTTTTGTTATGCAATTTGCTTTTGTACAGTTTGAGTCAAATTTGTAAGTGTGCCCGTCACCCAAATAGTGTGCACTGTACCCGTCAGGTGTGAATTTACCCCTCCCCACCTATTGATTTCCACTGAGTTTTACTTGCATATGTGCACATAAGTGTTGATCAATTAGTTCAAGCAATGTTCTCGTCAGAGTCTGCGAATGTCTCTGAGTAAATCAGTCAGCACTTCTGAAGTACCCTGGGGACAGGCTCTAGTGACCCGAGGGAATGCAAAGGTAAATACTTTCCATCTGAACAATGCTTAAGCATAATAAAAGGAATTTATAACACAATACTTTAGTTATACTATACCTTTCACCTAATTTATTTGTTCTTGCCTGATCAGGAAGCATGGTTTGAGAGAAATAGAAAATATAACTACAAACTTCACTGAGTTGCCTTTTCTCAAAAGAGTAGTCCTAATGAACTGACCGAGTTCTAAATTACAAACAGTGAACAGTTGAAACACCAGTAATTTCAGAACACCCACACTCCCTAGCTGGCTGTTAATACCGCAGCACAAACCACTATTAACACACACGCCCCTTTCCGCGACCTCTCCCCCTGCCTCCAGCCTTAACTATCCAACTAGGTACCCCACTTGTACGTCCAACAAACACTGCAAACTCTACATGCTCGACACTTAGCTCCCGACGGTGCCAAACCTGCTCTGCCCTTCCAGTGACTCAGGCCAAAAGCCTGTGAGTTTTCCTAACGCGTCTCTCTCTCTCTCTCTCTCTCTCTCTCTTAGTTGTGATAACAATAATAATAATTGTAGTTACATAAGAAAATGCCCATATGTGTCAGAGATGCATGCTAAAGTCTGCAGGGTAAAATGATATGATGTCAGAAATCTGCTTTAAAATCTTTGGCAAAGAAAAGAGGAAAAATAAAAAAAGGTGCATGAAGGAAGTGTGGCAAAATGTTGGCAACTGGTGTATCTGAGTGGTAAGTATATGGAGGCTCATTATACTGGTCTCACTACTTCTGTGCAGGTTTGAAATTTTTTATAATAAAATTAATGTTCTCAGTAGAATCCACCTATTTTAAAATTTAACACTGACAAAAAAGAACCCACATGTCCTTTCCCCTTGACCTTGCTCTACTTTTTCTTTTTTCTATATATAGCACTTACTCTGAAAAACTACACGGTTTATTACTTGTGTGTATTGTTTATTTTCTGTTTCCCTCTCCAAGAACGTAAGGCCCACGATCTTTGTTTTATTCCTTCACCGAGGGATCCAAAGTGCCCAGAACAAACAGTAGCTGCCACGTTGGTATGTGAAAGAGCTGGCCCTGCAAAAGCTACAGGAAAATACCTAATTCTACAATTTCCCCAGCGACGGTTAAAGATCAATCCTATGAGTTCTCTCACTAACGGGCACCCTACAGCAGTTCTGTTTTTTGCACAACTTCTGAACGGAAAAGAGATGTCGATCTCTCTCTTTCAAAATTGTTTTTCAAGACTCTGCTTTTACAGAGTTCCTGAGTAAACAACAGAAGAGCTCCCAGCCTCAACCTATCTCAGGACAGAGTCACATCTCCCATGATAATCCCTTCTCCAGGGAAAGGCAGGAAACCAAGTCTTGGATTTTGACATCTCGCCACCACTTTTATTACCAGCAGATAGTCATCGCTATTTTTTTTTCTTTGCCCCCCTTAAAATCAACAAGCCACTTAGCCTCACTGCTGGCATGCCCCTTCTATTTCTTTGGGATGCCACGCCATCTCCCTGCGCTAGCATGTGCACACGTGTTCTCTCTCTCTCCCCAAGAAGATAATAAACTTTTTTACTTTTATATCTTAATTTCTGCATGAGAAAGCTTTCTCCACCCACGCCATGAGCACCTACCAGGCTTTCCGCCCTAAGCGTATATGCTTAATACATATTTAAGGCATGAATGTTAAACGAATGAACAAATGGCTACCAAACTTCCAAGAATCAGCTAAAAAGTCAACCTTTCAAGCCCTTGCTACCCTGTGCTCAGTGATGTGCGCCTGCTCTCACTTCTCGTACAGCACGCTGCGCAGCGGACACAGCTCCACCAGCACTCACCGCACCACACACGGAACCATGTTCTTCTCTAACATACCAGACTGTGAACTCTCTAAGGGTAGAAGGTGTCTTCGGTATTCCTCAGACACCGTCTGACATGTACCAATCATAAAAAAGTACTTCTCCCCCACATCTGTTCCTCTTTTGTTAGTGAAGGATGAATGAGTGAATGAATTATCAGCCAGTTTCTAGCCTCTCTTCCTTCGGCTTCCAAGACGTGACACTCAAAGTTTTCCTTCCTATCTCATGGGTTCCTTTTCTTCCCAACTCCACAAGGATGCCCCCGGCATCAGTCCTTTGCCCCTCTTTTCCACCTGCGCTCATTCCCTTGGTGTTCTCGCCCTGGCTTGCAACTTTCAGCATCATTCACGTACTGATAACTCCCAAATTTTTACCTCCCGCTGAAATCCACACCTTTGCTTTCTCAGCATATCCAACAGGTGTCGCACTGTTAACGTGTCCAAACTGAACTCCCGATCCCCTCTAAACTCGCTTCGCCCATCCTAACTCAATTAATGTTATACGTCTATCCAGTTGTTCAGGCCAGAACCGTAGGAGTCTCTTTTTTCTTACACCTACATCCAACCCATCAAGGAACTCTTATTACTCCTATTTTCTAAATATCTCCAGAAACTATTTAAAATTGCAATTTGCCTCTAACACACACTTCCAAACTCCTAAACCAAGCTCTCTCTTTTTCTTGGTATTTATTACTTTTTAATAGCGTATTACTTATTATATTTATTGTTTGTCTCTCCTATTCCAGAGATTTTTTTTTGGTGCCTGATGTAAACCAAGCACCCGGAACAGCATGTAGCACAATGAGAGTACTCAAATATTTGTCAAATGAATAAAGAAAATAATGTTTGAAATAGCTGTATAGTTAATGTATGAAGCGTTATGAAGAAAACATCCACAGTACTGTAACAGAATAATTAGGGGGTCCTGACCTAGTCTTAGGCTCTTGTAAAGTTTCCTGAGGAATACTTGAGAGCTGGAAAATGAGCAGGAGTTAGAGTGGGCAAAGGGCAATTGAAAACGGGAGCAAACTCACAGATGTGTTCTCAGCCAACACGGAAGGTAAGAATCTGAAACTGCCCTGCATGCTACCCGCATACCAATGGAAAGTCACGGTGAACTCTGATGTGTACGAATACCCAACCCTGCAGACTGCTGGTCTATGCCAGCTTTCTCTCCTTCCTCCCCTCTCATTTACTCTTTTTGTTTTAATTAACTGTAAAACATTTCAGACATACAAGATCCCTTTACTCATAAAAGCAGCCTAATCTGGCTTCCTTCTCTACCCTTCCACTGAAACAACTCATCAAGATCACCAATGAATTCCGAATTGCCAAATCTTTTTTTCTTGACAGTGGGTGTGGAATTACTACCATGTCTAAATTGGATGGAGCATGGAAATCCCTGTCTCTTCCTAATCTGATACACCAACTTTTCTAATAACACATTTTGTGGATATGTCCAGACTTCTTATGGGGCACCCCATCACCCCAAATAAACATCATCACCTCATTTCTGAGTCTGTCACTAATCTGTACTCACCGTATTTCTAAATCAATTCCCATACCTTATGGTTTTTACTTTCTTAGTTCTCTGAGCAAATTTTTCCCAGTCATCCCAACTTCTCCCTGCTCCTGGAGCTAGAAGCAAAATAACCCTAGGTCAGAGTCTCTCTATCTTGGCACTACATTGTGGGCTGGATAACTCCTCCTGGTAGGGGGTTCTCCCATATAGTACTGAATGTGTAGCAGCATCCCTGGCCTCTACCTACTAGATGCTATTTATTAACACTCCACCACCACCACAACCTAGAAGGACAAATGAAAATGTCTCCAGACATTGCCAAGTGTCTCCTGGGAGGCAAAGTCACCCCAGTTGAAAGATATTTCTTAAATTAAGGCATTGCCAATTTTCAGAAAATGGATTCTTCGGCCAATTATTAATATTTCATGACATGTCTTTGAGGAAACTGGCAATGGGGACATTAGCAGCATTCAGCTGAAAATTCATCTGTGGCCAATTGGCCTAGCCTCAATTCACTGAGACTATTTCTTTCCCCACCCTAAATGCTAGAAGCTTTCATGATAGGGGCCAAGCAGCCAAATCCAATGAACACATTTCTGTCCTCATCTTCCTAGAACTCTTGGGGGCA